CGGCAAGACTAATCATTTCTAATGTGTCACATCTCTTTAAATGTCAAACTGAACACCATTAGGTATGGATCTATTTTGAGCTAGCTATAGTACTTGTATTAATACAGCCTAGGACAGTTAGCATATGCTTTACCTGTGTCTCACTATTAGGATACAGCAGGAAAAAAACTTTCCAAAGACAGAATCATTAGACATAAATGAAGTCAGGGGAAAACAAAAACATGCCCACTATCTATAATAATAAAAGAGTAATATGCAAATTGACGGAACAGCCAAACAGTGGAACCACTGTCCAGATGACCATGCTATGACACCCACTGGTGGCAGGCCAGCCAAGGTGGGTGCAATGAGACTGTTCTGGGCCCTGCCACCGCCCAATGAGCATCCCGCAGAGGGAGGCCTAGGCCACTGACCGGTGGGCTGCAGAGGTGGGCGGAGTCTCCCCCTGCGGGGGTGATTCATTGTGGAGCCCCAGCCGAGTGGGCAGGGCCTACCTCTTTGGAGTGATTGATCTCGGGGCTCCTTGACTGCGAGAGGGCGCAGGCCAGGCTGAGGGACCCCTACACCCGAGCGCACGAATTTCACGCACTGGGCCTCTAGTCCTATATAATAAAAGCCCAGCGACGGTGGAACCATCAGAATGACCCCTTGACCAGTCGCTGTGACGCACACAGACCACCAGGGGACAGACGCTCACTACAGGAGCTTCCTCCGGTGGTCAGTGTGCTCCCACAGTGGGACTGCCCCTCCCCTGGCTGGGATGAGTGGCACTTTCACACTGGGCCAATCCCTGCAGGCCATGCCCCCCACCAGTGCATGAATCCTGTGCACCGGCCTCTAGTAAGAGAATAAAGAGAAACAGAGATTTAGCTGGCAGAAATGAGAATGGAGGGATGAGGATGGAGGTGGTTATCTCAAACAGGGCTGGTGCTTAAAACTGCCCTAAGAAGGGAAGTTGAGACAACGGAATAATAAAGAACCAAGTGCTAGTATACACGAAATATTGGACAATAATACTATGAAACAATGTGGTAAACTGGCTCTCCAGTATGGGGATTAAAAGGGGCGTATGTGTGGTTTTGTTTCTCCTGAAGAAACCTGCTGATGTCATTTCCTCACAGAGGCTTTCCTTGCTCACTCCATGTAAAATAGTGCCCCTCCCTTTCCATATCCTTCCCACACACCTTGGTTGGTTTTATTCTCCTTTCTAACCTTTATCGACCAAATTAACATAATTAGTCAGTTTCTATGAGGAGAGGAAGTTTGTCTTGCTCACCTAGAAGATGCATGTAGTGGACACACAAGAAATAGCTGAATGAAAAAAAAAAATGGGTAACAGTCCTTGCTGAAATTAAAATATTCTTTAACCACAGCAGAAGCAAGCAAGCAAGCAAGCAAACAACAACCACCTTTCCCTCTGGGGAAGTAATTAGTTTCCTGAAACATTTTAAAGTGTCCTGATGTTCTACATTCACCTTTAAATTAAAATAATTATTTCTGAACCAAAACGTTATTTAGAATGCTCTTTATTAAAATCGATATAGATACCAAAATTACAAATATATTACTATCATTTAAAATGTTGTTCTGAATGGTGTTATAAGCTGAACATGAAAAAAAAAAAATAGCATTTCTACTGGTGGCAGCTTTTGCAAAGAGCTTTGTGATCTGAACTGTGTACCTCCCTCCCTCCCCGACCCGGCCGCCGCCTAATCCTTTGTTGCCAAACCCTAATCTTAGATTTTCCAGCCTCCAGCATTGTAAGAAATAAATTCCTGTTATTTAAGTCCCCCAGTATGTTGCTATGGCAGCCTGAGTAGATTAATATGCAAAGCAAGCAGAAACTCAATAATAGAATAAACACCATCAGAGTCAAACCCAAGCCATAATGTATGGGGGCCAATGTTCCCCCACATTTATAAGCAGATACAGAAAGCTGAGGGGGAAATTAGATGGGAAGAATTTTAAAGACAAAACAAATCCACTCCCCAACCACATGGAAATACTATTCACTGATTTCACTTTTTGACTTTGCTCCTCTCTTGATCGTGGGACTTTCACCCAAGGGACAGCTGAAATCTGAAGAGCTGCCTGGACTGAGACAATAGTTGTTTTTTTTTTTTTTTTTTCCCTACAGATTTTCCTTAATTTGATGTAAAAACTTCCAAACAGACCAATAGCTTTCATCTGAGAGACCGTGAAGCAGATGAGAAGCCTGATGGGTCCCACAAAGGTCATACCACTGTTTTGTAGGATACAGAGTCTAAAATCCACCCTGCTTTCCCAAACACTGAGACTTTCAATTCATGATTATTAATCTCCATAGGGCCCTGATGCTACTTTATTTTTTTAGTTCACACACTTCCCATTTGCCTCAAATTTCTAACAATTCCATCTTCCCTCCCTCCCAGCTCATGAACTTGACTTTCACTTCACTGAGAAAAACAAGGCAATTGGAAGGGAACTTGAGCATCTACCTATCTACCCGGCATCTGTACCCATATCCTCTACCTCTGTTCCTATTAACAGGACTATGCCATCTGTGCTCTTGGCCAATCTATTTATGAACTAGAGCCTGAGCACATTGAGAGGGTTAACTTGAAGCGCAGGCAGACAGGGCAGGGGCCCAGTGGGAAGCAAAGGCAGGTGGAACACAGGCAGGGGCAGACACGGCAGTTTGAGCAGCCTAACCACAGCAACCAACCAAGCAGAACTAATAAAATGTTTCTGGACTCAAAGCGGGAGGCATGGGAGAACAAGGAAGGGCCTGTAGTGACAAGATGTACGAACCCACAGAAACAGAGAAAACTCAGCATAGGAACAGAGAAAGAACACGGAAACAGGGAAAGTCCAGGCTTGTTGCTGGGCAAAAACAATGAGGGACTCAATCAAGTGACGACACAGGTAGCCATGGAGCAGGCTTGGAGCAGATATATAGGCCTGGACCATGAGGCTTTAACGGGCAGCCCATTATTGGGTCGCCCTCCCCTTGTGGGGAGTCTGAACCCGCTTGTAGCTCATTTTTCAGCATCCCGAGACACGACCGTGGGAAAACACCTCGGCTCACCATTCTGGACATCAACATGACTCCAATAATTCTCCTTTTTCTCTCTTTTTAACTTGTTTTTAACTCACTACTGAATCATTCTCAAAAGCATACAAATATGCTATTATTTCTACTAATGACCCCCAAATTGTGTGTGGGTCCCCCCCCCCCCCCACGTGGTCTTCCCATTTCAACTCTATCCTTCCAATTATTCAGGTCAAAAACTTTGGACTCTACTCACACTCTCCTTCTAAGCCATTAGTAAATCCTTTTAGTTCTTCCTTCAAAATATGTCCAAAAATTCAACTACTTCTCACCACCTTTATTACCACCAATCTGGACAACACCACCACCATCTTTTGTCTGAATTCCTGCTCCTGCCACACTGCCTGCCTTGCTGCTCCCCCATCTCCCTGGGCCCTCCTTATTCTCAGCACAACAGCCAAAGGGATCCTGTTGAAACATAAATCACTAAATAAATGACTTATTCATAGTTCTAAAAACATGGCACAAGCCAATTTTGCTTTGTATTTTTCAAAGGGAATTGGAAAGTTTTCTTCCTCAAATCTTCCCTGCTGTCCAGGAGAACAAGAGAAAAAAAGTACTAGCAACCATCACATTTGTCCTCTAAATAACGTTAGCTCACTCTCAATAAAGCCTGTCCCCACCCTCAGAGGGAGCGGATCTCTGTAATGCCACTCCTTTCAATGAAGCAAGGATGACGATATGCCACGAGTCTGTGCCCATTAATCTGACCACACCCTCTCTACCATTAAGACTTATTTTTAAAGCTCCCCTGACAGCACTATTTAACACCATGTTCTTCGAGCTCGGGGATTTGTCTAGTTCTGTTTGGCTCTTATTAGGTCACGTGCATTCCAAAATATGGGAAAGGCTGAAACGGGGTTCCCAGGCGACTTCTTCAAGTGACAGCAATGATGGAACAATCTTCATCATGTTGGAATTATCAATGTGGTGACTTGGAAACCGCAGTGGTTTGCAGACAGTACTTACTAAGACACAAAAGGGTTTTCCCTGAAGCACACCACTTCCCAAATTTCCACGTTCATTTGAGTTTTTGTGCTGGTGAGATTGCTCTATGCTTCTGAGCTGCTAAGCATTATCTAGGCCGAGACCTTGTCTACTCTTACTGGAACCGTGAATTTCCAAAGAGAAGCCCAAGTACTTTATCTGAACCTAGGACGGTACAAGAAAAATCTCTGCCCAAAATACCGAGTTTATTAGTACCAAGAATGCTACCAAACAAGTTCTCACACTCCAACATAAGTTTAAAAACATGAAAAGGTAAATCAAAGTCATTATATTAATATCAACCAAACTGAGGAGGAGGCACCACTGATCCTTATCCAAGACCTGACAGAAAATAAATTACTGTTGCTAGAGTAATTTTCTAGCGGAGTTATCGGAACTCTTTCTCAACAATAGAGTACACCAAAAAGTCTGTACAAAGGTCGCAACTGATTTTCTTTAGTTCTGCAGGGGGAAAAAAAAATAAAATTAAATTAAACCCATTCTTGAGACAGTCAAACCATCATGGCTTTGAAATTCTCGGTGTGTTTTGCATCATCAGCGGACTTATCTCAGGAGCTAATTATAGAGCTAAAATGAACGTGTTCCTCTCCATTTCCATGATGCGCATGGCACCGAGTTCTGAGGCAAGCTTGTGCAACTACAAACAAACCAAAAAAAAAAAAAAAAAAAAAAAAAGAGGTCAGCAGCAGTGACAACAGGCCGGAGAGTACCGCTCTCACACTGTCACTGAACAGGTGCGATGGAACCCGGGGCTGGGTGGCAGGAAAGGCAGGGTCTAGCAGGGGCGAGCGTTCCAGGCCAGAGGGCAGCGTCCAGGTCCGCCCGGCATGTCCCCCCGCAGCCCCTCCCCTGCCCCGCAGCGGCCAGGCTCAGGCCGGCCCCGCGGGGAGCCCCCGCTCACCGTCGCTGCACTTGTACTGGCAGAGCCCGTCCTCGCCCCCCAGCAGGTCCAGGGCGGCGTTGAGGTAGGTGTCGATGCGGTGCACGCCGTTGCGGATGGTCTTGAGGGTGGCCCTCCAGTCGGTGGACTGGGCCTCCTCCTGGCCCCGGAGCGCGGCGGGGAGCGCCAGCAGCAGCAGCACCGCGAGCGCGGGCCCCGGCAGCAGGGCCATCCGCCACGGGGACCCACCGGCCCCCAGAGCCGCTCCCGGCGCCGCAGGCAGCAGCACCGGCTCCGCGCTCCCCCCGGCCGGCTCCGCGCCCCGCCTCTCCCCGGGGAGGAGGGCCCTGTGCGCCTGCGCCCGAGCGAGGGGCGCCCGGGAGGCGGGGCCCAGCTCCCGTGCGTGTAAGCTGAGCAGGCGTCCCGCTTTCGGCGGGACAGTCCCGACTTTTAGTAATTTTAAAAAAAGTCCTGATTTTTGGAAAGAATGCACGACCAGCTAGGGAACGGCGGGAGAACAGGAAGGGAATGGACGGGTTTTCGGCGGCCCTGTGGCTATTTAGCCAGGATATGAGTTTTATATTATTTTTTTGTTAATTTTGTAATGTTAAACTCTAATAATAACAAGCAATTGTTGAGAACTGATTTACCGAGAACTGCTTAGCAAAGTCCGCATGGTGGATCAGTTGTTAGAATTGCGGAATACGCGCTGTCCTCACCAGGAACTAATGCTGCGACTGAACGCGTTTTTTTCCTACGGTGAATAAAGAGTGGACATCAGAAAAATCACAATTAAATGTGGAGACTATTTCATGGCCTTTAAACAATATTATTTTATTCTTTGGCATATTTCTCATTTGAGTGAATTTTTTAAAATAGATTACTAAAAAAAAATTCACTCAAATGAGAAATATGCCAAAGAATAAAATAATACTATACATAAATTTTTTATTTATTATATTTGTAAATTGCACTTATGCTGAAATTTAAAAAAATATATTACAATACTATTTTTGCGTTCTATGAAAATTTTTGTTGCTCCATATAGGCCAAATTTTTAATCAAGGACCACCCCCCCCCACCCCCCCTCCCCCGCCAATGGTGTCCCGCTTCACCAGTGTTAAAATCTGATCACCTTACGTTAGTACTTACTGCTGGAGAGGGTCGTGCTGTCCTACAGACTCATACAGGACCCCTGCCCACCGCAGGCTGATCATGTGAGTCCCCGGAGGAACGGGGCACCTGAATTTTAAAAAAAATACATATACTTTATTGATTTTTCACAGAGAGGAAGAGAGAGGGATAGAGAGTTAGAAACATCAATGAGAGAGAGAAACATCGATCAGCTACCTTCCTGCACATCCCCCACTGGGGATGTGCTCGCAACCAAGGTATATGCCCCTGATCGGAATGGAACCTGGGACCTTCCGGTCCACAGGCTGATGGTCTATCCACTGAGCCAAACCGGTTTTAACCCTACTCATGATATTTTCTAACTTGATAGCTCAAGTGACGTTTCTCTGTGCTATTCTCTCTCCTGCCTCCCAGCGCTGTGCAATATCCTTAAATAAAAATTGCAGTAATTTTTACCAGAGCTATAAATATCCGGTTATCTTAATATCCTGGCAGTTATCAAGAATCTTACAGTAAGTTCCAGGGCAGTATTGCCAAGTGTTGCAAATAGGAGCAGCCTTTCTATAAGAATCACGGATAAGCCCTAGCTGGTTTGGTTCAATGGATAGAGTTCGGCCTGAAGATGGAAGGGTGCCAGGTTCGATTCCTGCCCAGGGCACATACCTGGGTTTCGGGCTCCATCCCCAGTGGAGGGCCGTGCAGGAGGTAGCCAATCAACGATTCTCTCTCATCATTGATGTTTCTCTCTCTCTCCCTCTCCCTTCCTCTCTGAAACCAATAGAATACATTTTTTTTAAAAGGAAATACGGATAAATTCTAGGCTGGCATTTTGTGTTTGTAACAAGCTTCAGGAGTTTACAATAATTGTGTGGTGCAGCATTTTTAAGAATGATATCCCTCTGTATTGAGCGCTTACTCTGCCATGCACTCTACCTGAGCGATCTCTCACATCCAGAGCACTGCTTTACAGGGATGCAGCCTTTGGGCCAGTTAGAAACAGGCGCCCTTCCCCGCAGATGGATGCAGGCCCCTCCTTTACTCAGCCCTTCAGCCAGGTGCCCTTGGGCTGTGGTCAGCTGGCACCACAGCGGAGGAAGATGAGAAATGTGACCCAGTGGCAGTATCCTCCTTTTCCAGGGAAGGAGTGCAGGTGGGAAGTCACAGGACACTGCCCCGTCAAACCGAGGCCTCTTTCTGCCCTCACAAGATGCCAGATGTTGTTTTTCCTTTACTTTGGACAGCATGCTTCAACACATTTGGAAAAGGAATGTGTATAGAATGGCCTTCTTTTGCTTTCTGGAGTTTTGTTTTGTTTTTTTTTCACCTCTATAATGTGGATATTGGACTGGATTACTTCTGTGAGCCTCCCCTAACACCAACACCAGAACCCTTAAACCAGGATTGGTTCTCCAGAAACTGCCTGGTAGGGAATAAATCTCCCAGGTAGGGATTAAGTCTCCCAAAAAGAAAGACAGAATATAACAAGGAAACCTGGTTCCAGCCCCCAGGCTTCCTTTTTTTTTCTTTTTTTTTTTTTCCTTTTCTCTAAACATTTGCTCCTTGGTGATCTCACCTAATTTTTTTTTTTAATCGTTATTGTTGCGAGTGTTACAGATGTCCCTCTCTTTGTCCCCCATTGCTCACATCCAGCTGGTTTCTGCCCAACCCCAGGCCTTCATCACCCTATTGTCTGTGTCTATAGGTAATGCATATCCTACGTAATAAAAGTCTAATGTGCAAATTGTCCCCTCCAGTGGTCAGTGGTCTTTCCACTAGGAGTTTGGCAGGGAGACCAGGAGTACAACTGCTCGCTATGATGTGCACTGACCACCAGGGGGCAGCATGGAAAATGGCGGGCTTCAGCAATGTGGCACTGGAAGCAGGTGGCAATGGAGGTGCTGCTGGCCCTGATGGGCCCTGACGAGAGTGGGACTGTGGCAGGATGGTGGAGCAGGTGAGTGGGCGGCACCAGGCTAAGGCAGGTGGGTGTGAGCAGGGGCCAGATTGTCCTGCTGATTGTCCCCCAGATGGTGACCAGCAGCAGCAGCGAGGAATGGGGCCGTGGCTCCCAGGCACTGAGAGAGCTGGGTGGGGAGGGCCTGGCCCCCATCCATCACCCCACAGGCAGGATGGTGGAGCAGGTGAGGGGGCAGTACAAGGCCAAGGCAGGGTACCTGATGGCGCTTCAGGGCTTGGAGGCTAGGCGTGCAAGCTGGGGTCCAATCTCTTGTACTGGGCTTCTAGTCTTATCTAATAAAAGAGTAATATGCAAATTGACCATACCTCTGCTGTACCCACAAGCCATGCCCACCAGCCAATCAGAGCAGGCATGCAAATTAACCCCAACCAAGAAGGGTATGGCCACAGAGAACAGGAGGGAGGCTTGGGTTTTTCTGGCAATGGAAGAAGCCAAGCTTTCCGCCTGCCCTGGCTGGCTTAGGTCTCCACTCAAGAATACAAAGTTTCAATTATAGAAGGTAAACAAATCCAAACAGAAATGACTGCCAGCCACTGAGTGAGCAGGAGGCTTGGCTCCGCTCCAGGCTACAAAGTTTCAATTGTAGAAGGTAAATAAATCCCAGATACCAGGGCCTATGTTTGGGTCACCAGGGGGCGTGGCCAGCCTGCAAACCACCACAGGCCCCTCACCCAGGCCGCCCCACGCTCCAAGGGAACCCCCTCCCTGATCCGGGACATCCTTCAGGGCAAACAAGCTAGCCCCCACCCATGCATCAGGCCTCTAACCTACATAATAAAAGAGTAATAAGCAGATTGACCATCACTCCAACACACAAAATGGCTGCCCCCATGTGGACACAAGATGGTCACCACAAGATGGCCAGCAGGGGAGGGCAGTTGGAAGGCACCAGGCCTGCAAGAGAGGGCAGTTGGGGGTGATCAACCCTGCAGGGTGGGCAATTAGGGGTGACCAGGCCGGCAGGGGAGGGAAGTTGGGGACAAACAGGCTGGCGGGAGCAGTTAGACGTTAATCAGGTTGGCATGGGAGTGGTTAGGGGGTGATCAGGCTGGCAGGCCAGAAGCGTTGGGGGCAATCAGGAAGACAGGCAGGCGAGCAGTTGGAAGCCACAGTCCTGGATTGTTAGAGAGATGTCCGACTACCCGTTTAGGCCCGATCCTGTTAGGATCCTGGTGGGTTCGGACCTAAACAGGCAGTTGGACATCCCTCAAGGGGTCCCAGATTGGAAAGGGTGCAGGCTGGGTTGAGGGGACCCCCCCACCCACCCATTCAGAGCAGTCAGGAGCTTTTGTCTCCCTCCTGCTTGAGAAAGCCAGCTGCATACTCAGTTGCCAGCCCTCTCTGTGCGCACGCCTCTGTACCTCTGCCTTCCATAGCTCCTCTGAGTCTCAGTGTGCTTTTCTCTTTCCTTCTAGTTGTAGAATTTCCATTCAGCCAGACTTCCTTTGGTTCTGGATGATGTCTGTTTTGTCTTTTACTTGTAGTTTTGAAATTGTTTTGTGAGGCAGCAGTTTAGGTGTATATCTATGACACCATCTTGGTTTCTCCCGAGGCTAAATGACTTTTAAGGTTAGCTTTAGAAAGGCTGTGCAGGTTTTGTAGGTTCTCCTGGGACATTTGTCAGTAAGAAATCAGGCGACTCTGAGTCACCATGTTTAGAACCCATGTGGAGAGAGACCCTGTAGAGAAAGGTCTGAAAAAAGCCTCAGCTGGGTCCACCCAGCCCAGGCAGGCACAGGAGTGAAGAAGCCTGAGGGAGGACCCTCACCCCAGCCTTGTTGGACAGTAACTGCAGGAGAGGCTGGAAGGACAGCTGAGCCCTGTCAATCCCCAGACACAGGAGCAAAATAATAGGCCATTATTATTTAAATGACTGTTTCAGGGTTCTTTCTTACACAGCCAAGGGTAACTGAATACTCTCCAGTATTCAGAGACAAAAGGAATTTAAAATCTGGGCAACACGGTAGAGGAGGAGGAGTTATGTTCATTGGCCACAGAGTTCCATTTGGAGAAGATAAAACATTTCTGGAGATGGAGATGGTTGCACAACAATACAAATGCACTTAATGCCATGGCTGTATAGTTAAAAATGGTAACGTTTTTATGTATATTTTACCAAA